ATTTAATATAAGGCAAATAAGAGAAATAGGCTATGTTCACACTGCGGCCTAATTTATTTATGACAGTCTGAACGTGACAAATCTGATTTTTTTCAAATCCAATCCGGGTCTTTTCAGTATGTGGTACTAAATCAGATACATATCTAATGAATTTCTTTGTTTTTGTTTTAAATTATATCTGATGTTTTTCAAAGTGACCTCAGTCTGAACGCTCATCTGACTTTTACTTCATCAAGGTGGAAGTAATTGGATCGATCAACTATTTAAATATTAATACCAACTTTGTGCAGTTTAAGTCTTGTAACTCCACACGTCTTCAGTTACAGAACAGTTGCTTTCGTCTTTTTTCTTTTAATTTTCCATGTCCTGGATGAATGAGAATCTACGGGAATATGTGATAATAGTTCATGTCGTATCGTATCGATACTAAAGTTACTGGATCAATACTTTACTTTTAGCACGTGGACATGCTAACACGTAGCATCCATTACTTCTGTAAACAGCCAGCTGAATGTGACGACCTGCAGTGTGAACATAGTCTGGGAACGTGAGCAACAACGAATCACTTCTCCTATAAAATCTCTACTGATTCTGTCCTGGCAGGCCTTTAAAGATTACACCAGTGATGACATGAATGTAGCGCCTGAGGACCGCGTTTGGGTCCGAGGCTGGTTCCCCATCCTCTTTGAGCTGTCCTGCATCATCAACAGGTGTAAACTGGACGTCAGGACCAGGTAGGCGGGGTTCTGCTGTGCTGCAAGRTAAAACTGTTCAAATTAAAAAGGGAAACATCCGCCGCAGCATGAAAGTGTGTTTGTGTGCGTTCGTCAGGGGGCTCACGGTGATGTTCGAGGTGATGAAGACCTACGGGCACACCTTTGAGAAGCACTGGTGGCAGGACCTGTTCAGGATCGTCTTCAGGATCTTTGATAACATGAAGCTGCCCGAGCAACAAACCGAGGTGCAGGTTCTCACCCCGGGCTGCTCGTACCGGTTTCTCCATCTTTATTCTCACTGAGGTCATGTTTGTTCTCCCAGAAAGCCGAGTGGATGACCACCACATGCAATCACGCACTTTACGCCATCTGCGACGTCTTCACCCAATACTTCGAGTCGCTCAACGGCCTCCTGTTGGACGACATCCTGGCTCAGCTCTACTGGTGTGTGCAGCAAGGTGAGCGTGAAACCTGAGCGACGCTTTGGACTTGTTGAGTTCCTTCTTTCATGCTCGTCTCGGCTGAGTGATCATGCTCATTTTCAAGGCTAAATTATTAGCTTGTTTGTGAGCTGGATTATAAATGATGATTGTAAAGTCCCTGTAGACGTACTGATGTTTGTTCTGTCCTCTGCCTCGTCTCCTCGTCTGTAGATAACGAGCAGCTCGCCCGCTCAGGCACCAACTGTCTGGAGAACGTGGTCATCCTGAACGGGGAGAAGTTCTCTCTGGAGACCTGGGACAAAACGTGCAACTGCATGCTGGACATCTTCAAGACCACAATCCCACACGCGTAAGCTGCTTGTTTAGTTTTGTTTATCCGTTTTCACGATGCTCTGTCTCTCTTACGTGTTCCTGTTGTGTTTTAAAGGCTGCTAACGTGGAGACCAGCAGGAGCAGAAGGAGAGCACTACACAACACATAGCATGTCTGACAAACAGCTGGTGAGGAATTATATACAATTATACAAGATTTGCATGTTTTAAAATGTAGAATTTGACTTTTTATTTCTTGGCATTCCATGAGTAAATGTGTATCAGCTGCCACTTTTAAGGCTCATCTTGTGACGAGAAATAACGTTATTATGTGAATTCTTCACAAACACAATATTCTATCATTTTTTATTCCGTACATTTTTCAGAACCTATCTCGTTCTGCAATTTTTGTGCTATTTCAACAATTCATATTTCAAAACTTTCAGCTCCTTCAGGATGTTCAGGCTATGATTTTTGGTTTTTCTGCTCTTTATGCGTTTTTAGCTATTTCACTTTTTTATTTTCAGCATTTTCAGTGAAATTTTAGCTGTTTTTTTTGCAATTTTTTCTTTTGTCTACCACTTTACTATCTGTAAGATAATTTGAACTTGTCTGCTACTTTTAGCTTATTATGCTAATCTTAGCTGTTTTCTGCTATTTTAGCTATTGTTCTGCTAATTTCTGCTTCTTTCTGCTAATTTGAGCTTTTTTTGCTTCTTTCAGTTGCTTTTTGCTTATTTCAGTTATTTACTGCAGTTTTAGCTACGGTTCAGCTGGTATTAGCTGAAATTGTTTTTTAAGCTAAATTCACGTTTTGGGGGCCATTTTAGCTTCTTTCTGTTCTGCAAACATGCCCCTTCAGCTTCCTTATGCTAAATTCATCATTTTCAGTAACATTTTAGCCGTTTTGATGCACATTTTGGCTGTTTTTGCTATTTTACAACAAATTTAAACCTTTTGGTACTTTATTTTTTCCTGCTAATTTTGATTTTTTTTACACCACTTTCACCATCTGTAAGTTGATTTTAACATGTGTCTGCCGCCGTTAGCTTAATAATATGCTAATTTTTGATTTTTTTTTCTGCTATTTTAGCTATTCTGCTAATTTCTGTTTTTTTTGTGTGTGTGTTAATTTTTGCTTCTTTCTCCTAATTTGAGATTTTTATGATTTTTTTCATGTTTCAAATGAACTTGCATTAAACTTTAGCTTTCACACTAGCATTTTCGTAGAATATGCAATTTCTCTAGTTCCTTTTATTTTGTGTTGGGTGATAAAAATGTTTGTTTACTTGAATAATTCAGCTTTTATTCCTGCTGTAAATCTAATGTTTAAGTTTTGGTGTTTTTATTTTAGTTTTTAAGTCTAATGTGCTGCCCCCGTTTTGTGTTTAGGACTCAATTTCCCAGAAGTCCTTGGACATTCAGTCCCGCTCCGACGACCAGCACTCCATCAGCAGCACTGACAGGGCTGCCATGGAGAACCGGCGTCAGAGCCAGCACAGCTCGGCCTCCGGTTTGTCCGAGGACGTCTTGAGGAGCAGGAACCCGACAAGTAATTTCTGCTTTCCTGACCGCGTTCCAAGTGTTTTTTTGTTCCCTGATGAGCATTCACCCGTGTGTTCCACAGAGATCCAGGAGCAGCGGTTGTTTTCGGCTCTGCTGATAAAATGCGTCGTGCAGCTGGAACTGATCCAGACCATCGATAACATCGTGTTCTTCCCCGCCACCAGTAAGAAGGAAGACGCCGAGAACTTCGCCGCTGCTCAGGTACAGACGGTTGGAGAGCGATCTGATCCTTTCAGGTGTTTAACGTGTTCGTTCCGTGCTTTAAGGCAGCACTAATCTGTTGTCGTTTTGAAGCGGGATGCGGTGTGTGTGGTAGATGTCCAGGTGGAGCCCCAGGACCAGGGGATGTACCGCTACCTGACCTCACAGCAGCTCTTCAAGCTGCTGGACTGCCTGCTGGAGTCGCATTGCTTTGCCAAGGCTTTCAACTCCAACAACGAGCAAAGAACTTTACTGTGGAAAGCAGGTAGGAGGGTGAAATAAAGAATAACCTGCAAACTACCGTATTTATTCATGTATAATACGATAATCATTTTTGAGCTTACAAAGCATAAAAACCTAATTATCAATAACCTGTGTATAATACTATCCCCCCACTTTATGGATGATTTTTAGGGTTAAATTTCTAGTATGAATAAAAACAGTATAATTGTCTTTATTGGAATCAAATTATGATTGGTTTTAACTGTGTTGAAGGTTTCAAAGGCAAGTCGAAGCCCAACCTGTTGAAGCAGGAGACCAGCAGTTTGGCGTGCGGGATGCGTATTCTGTTCAGGATGTACACTGATGAGAGGAGGCGGGACGCCTGGGAGGAGGTCCAGAGACGACTGCTCAAGTAAGCAGCAGCGCACTGTCTCACTGCTGACAGGCTGTACCAGTTCATAGGACCCACAGCAGCAAAGAAAACTAAAATAAACTCCTTATGCAAGTTTAAAATCTGTTTTGTTTTGCTCTTTTCATAATGGTTATGTTATTCGTAATTTTCCTGTTTTGGTTGTTCTGCCTTTCTGAGATGTTTGTTCTTGTTTCAGTGTGTGCAGCGAGGCTGTAGCGTACTTCCTGGCTCTGACATCAGAGAGTCACCGAGAGGCGTGGACCAACCTGCTGCTGCTCTTCCTCACCAAGGTGCTGAAGATCAGCGACGAACGGGTAAGAAATAAAAGCACTCGCTGATCACAAGTCCGTGCATGGTTCCTCCTTTCTTTATTCTTTTCAAAATAAAATCGCAAAAAACTGAATGGAACTAATTAAAAATCCACAGTGTTTGATTTCTGCTTTAGCTATTTAAATCCAAAATAAAATACACGGTTTCTGTTAGTGATACCGGAAATGATGGAAGAAGAGTTTACAGAGGCAGGAAAAATGCTTAAAAAAATGGGAACCGGTCCTAAAGATTGTGGCAGTGGCTGCACTCAGACTTTATTCTGCATCTCTTGGAGTATTAAAGTGATTTTTTTCACTGTAAAATAGCTCTCAAGATGCATCAATTCCTTAAAAGCTGTTTCTAAAGTGCTCAGTGAAAAGGTAATACACCAGGAGTTCAGAACTGATGATTTGCAGTTCTGCCTGAAAAATAAAGGTTGTCTTTTCACTATTAAAATGAAAAGGAAAGGAAAAATGTAGCCTTTTTCAATTTTGTTTAATCTAATTTAGTTTTAAAACTAAAAAACTAAAAAAAAAACACAAAATTTTTCTTTTTATTTTGAAATTAAAAAACAAACCATGCACAGATTGATCACTTATTAATGCTATAACCCATCATGTAGACCAGTAGTTCCCAACATATTTACCTCAAATCCCCCTTTTCTTACTTCCAAGCCAAGCCGAGCCCCCTCGCTACCCCCCACCTCTCCCAAAGCCTCATTCAACTTTTATCTCTTTATTAAAATAATTTAAAAAATAAAGTGAATAGTTACAAACTTTTATTTGGAAAAGATTTTAAAATGAGATCTAATTATTCAAATGAACTTTCTTTGTTGATTTTTATATAAACCCATCTTATTGTTTTATCTTTTTCTTCCTTCGTCTCTCATCGTCCTCCCCGATTCAGTTCAAGGCCCACGCGGCCAGGTACTACCCCCTCCTGTGTGAGATCATGCAGTTCGACCTGATCCCCGAGCTCCGAGCCGTTCTGAGGAGGTTCTACCTGCGCATCGGCATCGTCTTTCACATCGCACAGCTGCCTGGACCCGAGCCGGACCCGGGGCCCCAGCGGGGCCGGGTCGAGCCTGAAACGGACACGGAGGTCGGGGAGGAGGCCGGGGAGGAGGCCCAGTGATGCTGCGCCTCCATTTAACAAAAAAAATCCCTGCTGAAGCCCCGCCCCCGTCAGATCTGTGTGGCCGTGCTGCACCTCCTCAGGGCCCTCTGTGTGTTTCAAATCAAACACTTGACTTTAAGAGTCGATCGTGGATCAGCTCCCTGCCCACACCCCGTCACCGCACACAAAGAGCCCAGGTGGAGTCCTCGGTGCACCAGGTGTAGCGACGCCTCCACTGACTACTGATCAAGTTACCCATATGGCTGATCTAAAAGAGTATATTTCAACATGTGTGCTTCTTACTGTATATTTAAAGTGAAGGGTGAATGATCTCAACATGCAAACTCTACGTACTCGACAACTATGAAATGTGACATTTATCAGGCGCACTGCAGACGGCTAACATCAGTACTGATGAAACTAGTTGTACAGATCTATGTAATATAATCCTATAACACTAGATTTTCTTTATTTTTCTTTATTTGATTTTGAGTTTTCCTCTGGATTTGCTGCACTTATTTTTTTTAATGCACTGGAGATTTTACTTTTTGTGATAATTTATTTGACTGCACCACCTCCTGCAGCTGATCCCTCACCGTAATGAAGCCAGACTGTGAGAAAGTGAAGGGTTAAATTATTCCATTTTATATATTTGTTCTTAGGTTTTTAATGGATTTAAGAAACAAACAAAAAGATGAGCAAACTGAAGCTAGCTGCTTTTTTGAGTCACTATTTTCTGTTTTCATGTGAGTTTAGCTTATCACTTTTGTGTACAAAATCAAAGGTTAATAATATATTTAATGTTTTTGTTCATTTTGTTTTTGTTTTTTTGTTTTGCGGGGAGGGGGGGCGGAGCTTACATGTATAGAGAAAATGACAAACGTCAGCTGTGCTTTAAGTATGAATGGGATGCATTCCTGCTCATGGATGTAGAAAACAAAATGTATATGATACAGCAATGTAAAGTTTTCTATCTTTCAAAAGATTATGTACGACTTTCTGTACAAAACATCATCTGGCATTCTAATCAGGTTCTAGATCAATAAAGTTTTTGAACTTGGTTGATTTGAATTTAAGAATCTGTTATGAATTTTATCTGTTCCATTCATGGTGAACCAAGACAACAATGAAACATATGAACCTTTATTTTTTTTTAGTATCACTTAACAAAAAACAAACCATAGAGAAGTTAATGATGCGATTACAGATTTGGACCTTACATTAGTGGTCCTGTTTAATTAGATGTGTTTTTGATGGAGAAACTCACCCAAAAAAAGTATTATTCAGTATCGAGTAAKTAAAATATTTGTTCTCATTAGTGAAACTGCATCTGTGCCACGCTCAGAGCGAACACCCAGTGGAGACCAGCTCATGGGACTATAAGGTGGCGTGTCAGGCAGGGAGGAGCTTCTAACCTGCTACATGTGTAGAGGTTGTTTATTTATTTTGATCTTTCTGATGTTCCGAGCGGCGCGGGCGAAGATCTGTCGCAACAGTTCCCACAGAGACAGGTCTTCTCAGAGCAGAGCCTGAAAGGTACAGAGATGTGAATTATACATTTCTTACAGCTGTTATATATTAAATTAAATAATTTTTTAATTGGGTTTCTGTGGAAAGGTGGGTAAAGAATATCTTACCTGTTGCAGATTATATTTACATAGAACCCTGTGGTTATTTGTGAACTAAATGGCAGCAGAAGCTAGCTGTAGTCGCTTTTGTTGAAGCCTGGGACACGTCATAATATTTCTGCCAGAATAACATGATGTGAAACTGACGGACAGGTAAAAGTTTATAAATCATTTTTTATGTCAATCATTGACATTTTTGAGACTAGAGTTTCAAGACTGTAATCCCCACTCAGACTGGTCCTTAGGGGTGTCCAAGCCTGGTCCTCGAGGGCCACTATCTTGCATGTTTTAGAGGTTTCACTGATTCAATGTGTGAATAGCAGGTTTCTGCAGAACATGCAGAGGTAATACAATCAATAAATTAGGTCTGTTAGAGCAGAAATACAAGTAAAACATGGAGGATAGCAGCTCAAGGACTGGATGGATGGATAGATGGATGGATAGATAGATAGATAGATAGATAGATAGATAGATAGATAGATAGATAGATAGATAG